AACGACTGGTAAGTAAATTCTTATAGATCTCGTATCTCATTTAGAGCTAGCAAGCCGTTTCTAGCGGCTTTATTTTAGGTGCAGAAAAACTGGAGGTCAATATTTACACTCAACACGAAATTAGCAGCGTTGTCTTTTTCAGCTACTTGCGTGCAATCAAATGCAGGGTTAATCTACTTAGTTCTTTTTTATTACCACCAAATTGAAAAGTGTTTTTCAAAAGATTTTAAGAGCTTCCCGTAATGTGTCCCTTGTAAAAGAAGTTAAGTTTGCAAAAACGTTTGTGTGCTTACACTTGCGGCTAGTTTGTTGCAGCGTTCCAACGTGCGAAACTACCCTGCACGTTTCGGTGTCTCAGCGACGCAATTTTGTAATGCCGCCAAACATTTTTTAACACAAGAAACGGCAAAGAATGTACTTTAAAATAGTGTTTGTTTCATGTTGAAATTCTATGTACCAATTGGGTTTTTTCGATGGTGAAATTAGGTCAAATTTGCCATTTTTGTAAACAGCCGAAATCGTGTTTCTTCTTGCGGCCGACACAGTCACATTTAAACAGCTTATCTGAAGATAATTGCTGAATTATAAAGTTCAAGTCTGTGTTTGCTTTGTGACTTGATTTTATTGAGAGATATCATCCCTTTTTTATGTACGAGCGCGAAGAAAATGCTTAATCTTCGCTAATTTCATACTCGAAAGAGCGCCGATTTAGCGTTTTTCAAACTTTGCCCGATTCAGCAAAAAATAAAAAGCCGTTACAAGTTTTAATGTGATTTTTGAAATAAGTGTACTATAGAGATTATTCGGGCAAAATATGAAGAAATTCAAAAATTCACGACTGTCAACCGATTCTGGAAAATTACAGACATTGGCTCTTAAGCTTAGCTTTAAAGATAGAGACAGATGCGGCTTAACTGACAGACGACCAATAACATCGCGATGTAATTGACCAATCAGATCAATAACCTGAGTATAATAACATCAACTGACGTGATACAACTCACTTTGACTCTGAAGATGACTACCGCACAGGTTGTCGAAAGTCAGTCACTGTCAACAACAACGTTCCTCTTCAGGATTACGTTCACCCGGACGATCAAACTCAACCTACTTTTGATAGTTCATTGACGTGTTCCTCGAAACTCATGGTATCGTCGTCGCAAAGCTGTTGTAGAATTTTTACCAATTCCGACGTGATCCTGTTTTCAATCGGCTAACCCTCGCTGCGGTTTGTTTAAGCCCTCGATATATTTCAAAATAACGCGATAAACAAGGCAGCTAATCCAATAGAATCAACCAATTTACAGTCTAAAATACATGGCGTATTCTTTATTTAGAAGAAACAACTATGTTAGCATCTCAAATTAAATCTACGTCGAGAGTCGCGTGCCATCTTCCGCTTTAGAATTCACTCGCGTTAGCTTCATCCTCTGTATAAGAGCTAAGTGCATTTATTAGCAGCTTTCCTTCTAAAAGATAGTTTGTTTCCTTGGAAACAAACGGGATATATTATCAATGTGAAAGCATAACTGAAATAATGCATTGAGGGTCGCATGCAGTAAAAAACTACCAGTCCTACTTGGCGATTCTGAAATTCTGCTGACGATTATGGAAAGATAACGGGTCGAATACTTTGTTTTTTGAGGATTTTTTGGGAGTTTTACGTTTAAATCACATGAAGGTGTCATTCTGTCATTAATAGAGGTACGCATAGTCGAGGTGGATTTTTAAAAAGCTTTCTCCGTAGCTAATTAGATGTAGTTCTTCCTCGATACTCTTTGGATTTGTCGTAAACGTCGTTACGAGAGCAGGTTAAAAAACGTTGTCAGGGAGGAGGCAGTAACTCTCATAGTAAGCCCGTTAAGGCGTTTTTACTGACGAGTTTGGTCTTTACATAGCGCAGACCTCGACAACCAATTAACTCCAGAAAGAAAAAAGAGAAAAAGGAAAAAGGGGAAATTGCAGGCCGGAAAATGATTTTTTTCTTTACAAGCTAATGACAATTTTTAAAATAGTTTTCCTTCTCTTTTGAGATTTTAGAAACCAGGGGCCCGTTTCTCGAGAGGCGCTAACTTTTCGGGCCCGAAAGCAAATTTTAGAATCAAAACCTGTTGAATGGTAGCGCAGTTCTTAGCTCACAAACCAGTCAATTTTGCTTCGTTAGTCTAACTGATAGTTTCGGTTTATCCTTTTTGAAATCATTGAACTTTGAACTTTTATAGTTTCAGTTGAATGCAATCCCCGCAACAAAACTGAAAAAAAAAANAAGTGCATTTATTAGCAGCTTTCCTTCTAAAAGATAGTTTGTTTCCTTGGAAACAAACGGGATATATTATCAATGTGAAAGCATAACTGAAATAATGCATTGAGGGTCGCATGCAGTAAAAAACTACCAGTCCTACTTGGCGATTCTGAAATTCTGCTGACGATTATGGAAAGATAACGGGTCGAATACTTTGTTTTTTGAGGATTTTTTGGGAGTTTTACGTTTAAATCACATGAAGGTGTCATTCTGTCATTAATAGAGGTACGCATAGTCGAGGTGGATTTTTAAAAAGCTTTCTCCGTAGCTAATTAGATGTAGTTCTTCCTCGATACTCTTTGGATTTGTCGTAAACGTCGTTACGAGAGCAGGTTAAAAAACGTTGTCAGGGAGGAGGCAGTAACTCTCATAGTAAGCCCGTTAAGGCGTTTTTACTGACGAGTTTGGTCTTTACATAGCGCAGACCTCGACAACCAATTAACTCCAGAAAGAAAAAAGAGAAAAAGGAAAAAGGGGAAATTGCAGGCCGGAAAATGATTTTTTTCTTTACAAGCTAATGACAATTTTTAAAATAGTTTTCCTTCTCTTTTGAGATTTTAGAAACCAGGGGCCCGTTTCTCGAGAGGCGCTAACTTTTCGGGCCCGAAAGCAAATTTTAGAATCAAAACCTGTTGAATGGTAGCGCAGTTCTTAGCTCACAAACCAGTCAATTTTGCTTCGTTAGTCTAACTGATAGTTTCGGTTTATCCTTTTTGAAATCATTGAACTTTGAACTTTTATAGTTTCAGTTGAATGCAATCCCCGCAACAAAACTGAAAAAAAAAAACAGTTTTCCGGGCATGAAAACTTACCGGGACTTTCGAGAAACGGGCTTCAGGCGACGGACACGGTGACGCGAACGTCTGAACAGCGATACAAGCTAAATCAATTAAAGTTGCTTGCACGCTGTGAAAATGACTTCATTCATTGCATGTTTCTGCCAAGTTGTCATACATGTTTTTCATGTTATTCTTTCTTCAGTCGTAAATCATCTTGAATTTTAATCGAAGGTCGTTTTGTCAACGAATATGATTGGAGTGTAAGATATGTAATATTACCGAAATAACGATAATGTGTACTTTTGACTTGTAAAACGTTTAAGTTAGCAGGCTTTTACATATCGCATAGAATTTAAGTTCTTTTATGTATCCAGGAAATTGATGAAAGACTAAATGTTCAAAAAGCCATCGGCGAAATCTAACGACACATCTGCACACTCGCCACCAGCTGGTAATTTTAAGCAATTAGTGTCTATTCTGTTTTCATAGTCCTCTTCTAAAAGGCATTTTAAATATTCAATTTCCGTTTTGTTACGTTTCGTATCTTGAAGGACTAAAAAACCTTTCAATAAGCGGGAGGAGTGTAGACTTTATTTAGTGGCTCAAGCGAAGACGTTTTTGACCTGCGAACGTTAACCGAAAGTGGACGTTTTGCATTCTTGGGCCGTAGTTTTGCCTCCTTTTGGGGGCAAATCGTCTCTGTAAGAGTAAAGACACTTGGCAGTACAAATTATGTACCGTCAAGGTACATTAAATGAGAAAAAAAAAAGAGCCTTACGTCCGGTTGACGTGTGTCGCTCTTACACTCCTTTGCTTAAGGTCCCTATTGACACAAAGGGCCTGTCTACCAATTTTGAAGTTTGTCTAATTTTGTTCCCACTAAATGCCGTAGGCGTTTTCAGAGATTTTTTGAATGTTACAATGTGGTTTTAAATCTATTAAGAACAGTTTGATATAGCTTGTTTTTAATTCCACTGGTGCGTGGCTAGGTAAATAATCAACCACATCATTAGAATAGCCACTGATATTTTTTTGCATAAAATGCAATTCATGAAAACCATAAGAAAAACTTAACGTCATTGGAAAAATTGTTTCAATCTGTGAAAACTGAGGAACCGTCAAGTTAAAGTTAAATTGTATAGGTCTCTATTTTATGCACGTGAGACATTTTTCACCCATACTATTTATTTAAATTACAGTTAAATTTACACTTGATGATCAAACCAAGAAATATTCTCCCACTAGTCGGGAGAATTCTCCTTCTAGTCCCAATAGGTCGGGCTTCATTTTGTCCTAGAAATTACCCAACTTTTTGGAATGCGTCTTTTCTGCTTCTAATGTTGTTTTAGGTTTTAGATTTTATTTGTTGGACCGGGTGAATTAAAACTTTCAATTTTTTAACAGTGATTATTTTATGTTACATGACAGTGACCAAAAGGTTTTGAATGACTTTCAAACCCACTCAGCAACAAACAAAAACAAAAAAACCTTTCATCTTTTTGTATAATTTGTTTGCCAATCATGCACACCTCGCTTTATTACAAGTCAAGTTTAAATTGAAATCGTCGCATAAAATGTGCTGCTAAAAGGTTGACTAGCACGCTACGGGCGTTTATTATCCGTCTTGATGAGTGAATGTCGCGAAACATTACGTGATTCGCGGGATATTTTATTGAAAGCAGGTGAAGCAGTTACAAGAAACGAGCTCGTGACCAACTCTTGATTTGTCAAAAACACTGCAGTTGTGGGTGGTTTATCATTCGGTGGGATTTATATTTTCTGGAGAGCTTAAGCTGGAATTGCTTTCTGTTATGTGTGCGTTTTTTACACGTCATCATAGCAAGGCTGTGCGTTTTGTGCTTACGGTTTTAGAATATTTCGGACGATTTTAACTTGAAGCGCCTGTGTCAACCTTGGGCATGAAGACAGAGGAAACAAAGTTAAAGGCCTCCTTTACGAAGGAGATGCCCGTCAACTCTGGTACATCTACGAATTGCACTGTTAAGGTTCCGATTCTCATTGACAACAATCCAAAGCCGGTGCATAAACGTAGCGTCTGTCAAGCCAAAGTTCCGAAACATTCTACCTGCACAGCAAGCTGCACGAACATAAAAAATTCGTGGGTCATTTGGAGTGCGGTGGCCTTCAGCGCGGTCGTTGTCATTGTAATTTTCGCGTCCCTTCAAGGAAAAACCAGCGCCGAATTAAAAAGCGCTAAAAATAAAATCACAAATTTGGAGTCGATGGCTGATGCTTTGCGCAAAGATATCGCTGACCTGGAACAAAGGTAGGAGGATTGTTACATGAGTGTAGAAAGGTTTAGTTTAATTGTAATCTCCGTTCGTGACTTTGCAAATCTCCTAACACCAGTACGAATCGTTAAATTATTTCTAAATTATACATAGCGATTCAGTTTGTCTTTCCATCTATTAGCCCATTTGGAAGGAATAAAATTATAAGCACTGAGGTCAAAGCGAAACTCTTTGCAACCTTTTTTCCATCTTTGAATTTTCAGTCAATCTGAAATTTTAATTTTCATCGCTGTAGGAGTTCAAAATTTTTATGTACACGTCCTACGTTTAAGTTTAGTCATGTTGAAGTAAATCTCATGACCATGAATTAAGGTATGTGTCCTCCATATTTCGCTGTTTCCCCCTAGGGGGATCATGGCATTAATAGATTTTGTTGAAAAAAAAATCGCTTACAGATAAGAGTATCGCAATTGGTTTATATGTTCCTGTTAGCGAACTGTATGACTTATATTTACTCAAATTATGAGGGTTTCTTATGTAGTTCCAAGTGAGCTCCTTTTACACGACTTTTACTGGATTTTAAGCCATTTTTTTGTCTTAATTGCTATCCTGCTAAGAAGTGGTTAATGCCTTCTTGTCTATATTATGTTCTCTTGTTGTTGAAAAAAGCCCCTAAAACAGAAAGCAACCCACGATATTCATCACAAGACACGTGCTGGTTCCGTCTTTGTGGCTGTCAGTTTTGTATACAACCAGTTCATTAATAAAACTTTTATGACTTCATCACTAAATTCTCTACATCTCTAAATACAGTTTCAGGGCAAGGGCTACATATCGAACGTAAGATTTTTCTCACTAAGTCACTTTTAAATCTCAGTTATTTATTTGATATTGTTGCTTCATTTTGTTGTTTCCCTTTTTTCGTTTTTTGTTTTATTTTGGACCTGAGGGCTTCAGGCTATTTCTAATTTATTCTTGTGTATAAGATCATTAACTCATCTTAAAATCCCGAACCATCTCGCTCGTAATTAAACCTTTTAGTAGGCCGAACTAATCGGCACTTTGTATCCACAGGCCATTCATGGAACAAAATTGGTAGAAATCACAATAACGATTTTCGCAATTAATTATAATCACATGCTATTATCGCAAGCTACTACAAACAACGCGTACATCATATATGCATTTTGGAGGAAGCGATATGCTATAAGCAGGTGCTATTATAATTATCCTTGCTTATAAACCTTAAAATAACCCAGGCATTTGAAATTACGCGCTTTTGATTTTGCATTATTAACATTTTTTTAATCGACCCTGCAAGAATTGCATTCTTCGATTTCTCATCAAAGCACAGGCGTGATTTAGTTGCGATAATTTTCTGCTGTTGAAAAACAATATTTCCTTTGTCCTAGGCTTATTGTGCGGGAAGACTGGGCCCGACTGTTTAGTGTGTTTCCGGGTATCTATCGGCAAGATTCCTTAGCTCTCGAAATTAAAATAAGATGAAAAGAAAAAAAAAATTTAATGGAAAAGAAAAATAAAAGAAAAAATTAAAGCCATCTCAACCAGTGTTGCGCCAATTTCAATCTCTTGCGGTTTTGAAGGTTGACCACAGTCAAAATATGACTGGAATTTGTTTTCTATTTTTAAATTCGCCAGTAAATGTTAAACTTTTCGGCTACTTTATACAGTATATACTATCATACGCAATGCTCTCTGTCTTTGATTTGAAGGAAATGAAGTAGAGAGAAAAAACATTTCTGTCTGTGCATACCATTTTTTACAACTTAAATCGGAGGTTATTTATAATGAGAATGATAAAAATTGAGGTTTCGAAATCCGATTTTTGTTTGTTTGTTGAAGTAAGCGGGGGTAACTATAACCTCATGCAAATCTGGTTGTACACGAAGCATCAAGGTGACGCGAATGAGTTGTCTCTGATGTTTCGAAAACAGACTGTCACGCTACTGATTACCTCGATAAATGATTTACGCGTTTGTAGATGCAACAGAGAGACCATGTCTGAGAGTGATAGACTTTTGTTTGTTTGTTTGTTTTGTTTTTTGTTGTTGTTTCTTTTTTATCCCAAATGTTTCTACCTCTATCGTAACGAACACCGGCTCATTATTTTACAGGGGCACCCAACGAGAATGTAGTTCAAAACCACTTAAACATAGCATTGTTAAACGTATTTTAGTATTTAAACGGTAGATATAGGCATATTTTTATCCTTTTCAAAAATTTCAGCTGGAAAAAAGGCTCCCGAAAATTCTATGTCACCTTTTTAGGGTAAAAATCCGTAAAAAAATGGACAATTATACCAGTTTTTAGATGTTCGAAAATCCTAGGAGAGGCAGGCTAGCAAGAAATTTTACAATGAAATGTTCCAAAAATTCTAAATCTCAAATCGTCTTCCGGACAGATATTTTCCGAAAATTGTCGTTGGGTGCTCCTGATTTTAAGCCTCTCCTCTCCCTTGAGAGTCAGGTATAGCTGGTGAAAATACCTATCAGGTCTTTTACTTAGGATTTTTTCACTTCGATCCAAACTCCTCGACAATATATGATCTATTTCAGAATACATTGCACCCAATCTAAAGACGGGAAGGATGCTCGGGGAAAACCATGTCATACTGGCGGAAAACGTAAGTAGTATTTACGTTTTGAGGATAGATCCACAAGCCTTCCGATCCTATCCTGAGATGAGTACAGTTGACTCCCGGTAACTCGCGCAAAGCCTTGCTAACTCAACGTCGCGCTAAGTCGAAACGAAGTTGATTTCCCATGGATTGCCTCATACATTTACTGTAATTTTACCCTCGATAACCCGAACCTCCCGCTGACTGGAAGTGATTTTTGTTTGCCTTCAGATTATCTCCATATAATTTTACCCTCGATAACTCGAACCATGTTTTAAGCGCGTGACAAGTCGGAAAAAAAATACGGTGTTCCACTGTACTGAATCCGAGGCACTGAATTTATTTCAAAGCAACCGTGTCAATTCTTTGCCTTTACTTTTTTTGCCACTACTCCAGTTCAAATTCAATGTCCATCCCTGTCGAGTGTACATGATACTTGCATTCCCTCACCATCTTTTTGCTTATTTGCTTACATGTACTTCCGGATCTTTGCTGCAAATTCCGATAACTCGAACTTTTTTCGATTTCTCGCTACAAGGTTCGAGTTGTCGTCGGGAGTAGACTGTACATCATAAAAATACTCCGTTGTTATCGAATTATACTTAGGATGTATATAAGGGAAGTGGTCAAAAGAAATCTACTCAAAGAGGACCGTCTTGACTAGGAGTGTCGTGCCGTAAAGGCTATACAAGACAACACCCATTATTTTGATATCCCTAATGGGGGCAAATTAATTTTATTTAGTGACGCAAAAATATGGGATAACACTGAATACTCCATTTTCGATATATTATTTTCGATATATTAAAATTCATACTTGGCTCCGAGGCTTGGGGAAATAAAACAAAAGAAATGTATCATTCATTATTTAGCCTCAAGATGATTTCTTTTGTTTTATTCCTCAAGTCTCACAACCAAGTAAGAGTTTTAATACATCGGAATTGGTCTTTTAGTTTGTGTGCGTGATCGAAGCTTACATTCTCAGATAACCTGCACTGGAGCACTGAATCTTATACTTCGTCTTTTTTTTATGCTAGTATAAGAGAGGAGGTATGCAATTAAGCAGCCCTATCGTTTTAAGAGGGGAAGGGTGGTATACTATATAGAGAAAATGTTAGTCTTTATATAACTGGAGAGTTGGATAATGGATGTGTAGAATAGTTTGACCATTTCTTCAAAGACCACGCCGCACCGTAAAACAGGCCTTGGTTCTCCGTTTCTGATATATAAAAACGAGGTTAAATATATAGATAATAACCCGTATCCCTTAATGGAACCTTCCAAAATTTAGCTTTTTCTCTTATATCTCATATCTTTGTTAGTGATTATAAGTATTTTAATTTTTGGTGTCAGGGATTATAACGTCTAACCTACATTTTTTTTATACCAGTTCACACAGGTTTTTTAAAAAACAACAATGAAAGAGGGAAAACGAATTTCTCCAGTATCCCGACACTTGAATCAACAAGCAGTAGGCGCCGGGCTGAACCAAGCGGTGAAACAACAAATGCTCAAACCGCGAAGCCTACAGAGTCAAAAAATTCAAAACCAAGTAAGTTCAAGACAACGTACACGGTATGGGGAGGCGAAAACTGCCGAGAGGACGTAACGAAAGTGTATTCTGGTAAGTTTCAAATCTCCCAATGTAGGGTCAAATTAGTTGGCCGATTCCCCACAAAACCTTTATTGGTAAGTCAAAATGAACTTCGATTGATGCAAAAGGAAAAAGACTCGAGTGTCCGCATCATAATTTTCTCCATTTAATTAAGGTAGAATCTTTCCGCGACCAAATTTAATTGAAGTCGTTATAGTCAGGTTGAGGCAAAGAAAAGTGAATATGAACTTGAGAAATAGCTTGTCCTTTTACAAAATGGAATGTAAAAGCGCAAGAACTCAAAAAATGAACATCGGACGCAAATCTTTGAAGGAGATCGTTGGTATTTTCACATTTTGCTTATAACCCGCACTGTTAAACCTCCGTCATTGGTATATGGGAAAACGCTTTGAATGGATAATAGTGCCTCGGGGGTACACTTGTAATGATGGCCTTTCATAGACTAGCCGGCAGTGTGGCAGGCATCAGAAAGGGAAGGGCAAGGAATTTGGGCGCGAAACCGCGCGCAAGGGAGAAAGGAGGAGGGCGCCCTTTGCGCTTCTCACGCACCCAAAATTCCCTTTTGCCATTCCCTTTGAGAACGCGCCTGCCACGCAGGCTATTCATACATGAAAATCTTTAAATAAGAACGACGGGGACCAGGTTTTATGCGCCCGCGAGACCGAGCACCCCACACAAACCCTTCATTGCACTAAAACCGCTGGATGTCACAACCTGGTTGAGGTCATCGTTATCTAAGGTCTTCCTTCGCACATAGACTTATTTACTCCTTTATTGTCTTACCAATCAGGGAGAACCGCAACGCTTCATTCCAGCTCCCATCCTCGATCGTCAATTGGCTCGGAATACATGTGCATTCCGGATCGAATTGAATATCCCAAGCACGAAAATATGTCAAGCGGACTCTACTTGTCACCCGTTAGATACGCTGCAAACCTAGACATTTTCACAGTTTTCCTTGAAAGCCAATGCCAACGTCTTGGAGCTGAGAGATGCAAGAGTTTGAAGTTAAATCACCCTCACTTGTTCAAAAGACTCGATAACTTTCAAATTCCGTGTGCTGTGTGCTTGCGAGACAGACGAACTGTCACGATCGTTACTCCAGGCCGAGACACTTGCCAATCAGGTTCGTGGCAAAAGGAGTATGCCGGGTATTTAATGACACAGGAAGATGGGGCTGCGGGCTCCAAGCTTATCTGTGTAAACGCCGATGCGCAGGGCGTGGATAAGAGCAATACGACTGGTTCTCAGGGACCATTTCTGCAACCTGTTGCATATAAATGCCTTGGAGCCTCGTGCACTGAAAGCCATAATAAACCGATGGCATTGCCTTGCGTTGTATGTTCGATCTAAGGCAGACAATAGTGGTATAAATATATAATATTCATGGCAGTTGGCGTTACCTCACGCAGAGGAATTCACAGAGGAGCACGAAGGAGAATCTTCGCCGAAAGTGCATTAGTTCGTTTGGAAGTAATTACCATATCACGTCACGAACAAGAAAATACATATAGATATGTGAAAAAGCAACAACTGGAACGGTGTTTTGCAGCCAGAAGAGAAGGAAAATGTACTCAAATGGAGTCTACGCCGCTAAGTAACATTTCCACCTGATTAGAAAGCCACTGCGTGGCAATATATCTTGCTGGTGGTTATTTGATTTGACTGTTCCTTCTATTTATCCGTAAGATCATAGAGATCCTGATTGCTTTGCGTTTCAGGCGGCCATCTCGGATGCCATTAGTGTCATAAACCCCGACTCCCGCCCCCAGCTCGGTATGTATGAAACCAGGATGGCCGCACGTACCGGCAAGCGCTCGATCCTGACGATCTTACGAAAAAACAGGGGACTGTGAACAGTCTATTTGATATGCGACGACATATTTTATTTTGTTTGTCCTCAACCAATCAGAAAAATGACTTATGCGAGAAAATTAGAAAATATAGTACCACACGGTCATACAAATGCTGATATTATTGAAAACGAAAGAGAGACTGGGTTTCGGTTTATTTTACTTAAAGCCTTTAGTAAAACGACTAAAAGCCGAATTGGTTTCGTCCAGCTGTGTAAACTGACATTCATCCCATTTGACAATATGCCCCGAAGTATAATACTTACCTGCCTGTTCATATTTATACGCCGTTTTATTCTACATTTAGCTTATGATACAAAGGAGGAATTGTCAAGCTCTGAATTTAGTGGTATCCTTGTTCGAATGGGAAGAAAAGTGTTTTCCTGAAGACCTTGAAATGTCCAAAAATTGAGAATACAGTTCCTTTTTGCTAAAGAACGTGCACAAAATTAATCCCGACTTTGAATTCGGAAACACTTAGTCATACCCTTTTGACTGTGGATGAAATTAAGCAGTGTACAAACGATTTTTAGCCCGGTCTAAACGATCAAGCATCGCGTTTGGACGCGAAAATGAGTAATTTCACCTCATGCAAGGGAATCCGGATTCTGCAATTCTGGGTATATTTGCTTGTAGAATCCGGAATACGGGAAATTTTTCTTGTGGAATCCGGAATCCTGGGCTCGTGGAGTCCGGAATACAACTCAAGGAATCCAGAATCTCCCTTACGATTGCAATCCGGAATCCCAGTTCCACTGACAAAGAGTCCGAAATTCATTACCTGAAATCCAGAATCCACGGCATGGAATCCAGAATCCAAGACTGTCTTGCATTCCCTTACATGAGGTTTTGTCAAATGACAAAGGTCCTGCGTAATCGTTATAAATACTTACGAATTTGAAGACTTTTATAATAAAGTTCAGTTGTAAAAATAATTCTTGGAGAGATAGATTACCCCTTGTCTGATATAAATTGAAATGCAGGTTTTTACCTTGCTCGGTTTTGTGCGGCCGGATCATTGCTTTTCAGAAAGTGATCGAGAACCTTGAAATAAGATGATTTCATGGCAATTAAAAGCTCAGTTTTGGAGGAATCGTTGAACAAAGAAATGCTGAATTTAATGGAGAAATTATTCCAAGCTAAGACTACGTAGGTACTTGTCTGTGAGGGAATGAGAGAAAAAGGCTCTCGCAGCAGAAGTCAATCTTTAACGAATTAAAATATGACTTTAAGGAAGTTCCTGAAGATAATGCTCCTGTAATGAGGTTGGGAGAGCTCTTTTTATACTGCCTTTACGGTTGTGCACACTTTGCCGAAAGTAACAACGAAAGACAAAATAAAACGCACAAAGAGAAGACTCTTTATTTCTCATAGTACCCCCTTGTCCTGGCTAGCTATTTTTTATCACGAAACTAATAATATTTTGTTAGTGACTATTTCACTGTATTCTGTAGCCCCCATCCAGAGATCAGGAGCCAAATAGCTAGTTCCACCTGTTAACCCTCATATTTGGTGACAATGCGCCCATTCAGAGGTTGAGGAAGACGGAAGTTGTTGCAGATGGAGTGCTCTTCATGATCACGAAGACGCCTCATCGCCCTCAACTGTAAGAAAAGTACACTGCATTAGTTCAATCAACGAAAAGTGTCATTCTAGCCAAAAAAA